CAAGCCTAGACAACTGGACAGCATTGTTCTAATGCTGAGAGAAGCCAGGCTGCACCTTTTCACCAGGGTGAGTGGGGTTGGACCCAGGCTTCAAGAAATTATTATTGCTGGAGTATAGTTACATTTTTAATGAGTACAGGGTAAAGTCTGAAATAATAATAATTTTGGAAGCTCCAAAATGTAGGGCCAATGAAACACATCTGTCAGTGTTCCATGAAATACTGATGTAAAAAGTACCTGGGTTTGGGTGTCTCAGTATTATTTGTCAGGTAAAAGAACAGAACTCTACCTGTAGTGCCTCAGAAATGTTATGAAATATTCTAGGCCAAATTCTCAGATGATGAAAACCAGCAGAATGTCATGGAAGAAAACGAGGTTTGCTAACCTATTCTAGATGGTAATCTGATCCCTGGAGGGTTTTCCTATCTTGATGAATTACTGTAACACACATATCCTTCAACCAAACTATCGCTCAGAAAATTAATTTGCCCTAATGGGCCACAGAAATATTCATATTTCCTGTTCTGCTCTTCATGACTTACAATTATCTTAAAATAATCATGTATGTAGATATTTATGTATGCATGTATGTTTGTATATGGTAATTAAATGTTACAGGCCAATAGCTCTGCACTGTTTTAACAAAATGGAAGAATTCTTTTCTTGGTACAGAAGAAAAGAAACCATGATAAATCAGCTCATGAATATGAAGTATCCCAGTGCTGACACAGGAACAGATCCTGAGTTTATCAGGCAAACTGTAGAAAAAGCAAAAGAATGAGTTTTACAGAAAAATTATGCCACTTTCTCTCAGTACACCTTAAGTATTATTGTCTTTGTTATCCAGTGTGTACAGCCCATGTGTTTTGTGCTTATCTTCAGGAAATTCAAATGTATATTCTGAGTGGTCATCAAAATTCACTAAAAAGAACAGTGAAGTACAATTAGCTAGAATAATTTAAAATGGTTCATTGGGATTGATCAAAAAATAGAGGAGGTAGTTTAGCCTTTAAAGAGCTTGGGAAAGTTGATGATCATAATTTTTGGCCATTATATTTGATGAGGGTTACCCGTATTTTAATTTCACTGAAGTGCATACTCTTTTCTTGCATCTAAGTTTTGTCTAACCAGAAAAAGAAGAATTTGGCCATTTGTCTGGAATTTCTAAATGTTTGGCATCCTGGAAGACCTAGTGATGTTGCCACTCTACAGAAATTGACTGTCCACTGCACACACAGTGTGATCATAATGTGAGAATTATTGTGCATGTGTTAGTTGTATCTGCTCAGGATTTTCCTATGCATGCCACTCTTTCTGGTATGAATGCCTCTGTGCATCAGTAACTTTATAACTATGTCTGTTTTCAAAAGGCAATGTATGTAGGAGAAATGTGATACTTATTTTCTTTCTAAGAAGAATTTTAACTTGTCTACTGCTGCACTATTCGCAAGGAGAAAATATGAGCAAAGAAGGATGGTTGCACAGATAAGGCATAAGACTAAAGATCAGACATGGGTATGTAATTTGTTTTAACCAGTGACTCAATTCCCTATATGTAAAGAGGAGACAACTCCTCTTACCACACCATTAATTCACAAATTAACCCAAGTGCATAAAAATCTATAGCAATAGTGTGTGTGCCACAAAGCAGATGATATTTATTTTCTAAGAGGTGTCTAAGGAAGACTACCTTATTATTTTGACAGCCTAAAAGCTGCAGTCTAAGGAACTATTTTGCCTACCCTCTCTCATTTTTCCAAACAACATTGCTGTAACTGTATCAGTGTAACAGCACTGTATGATCCTGGTCATCTAACCTGAGGGGACTGAACCAGCTGTTAAGTGTCTAGATACAACTCCATTTGCTGACCTGCCCATTTATTAAATATTATGTAGGAACTTGCAGTACCTGAGTACCAAAAAAGTCCATCTTTGGAATTCCTTTGGAATTCTTTGCACCTGCTCACAATCTCATCCTGCTCTAAATCTGGCCTCCAACATAGATGCCCATATGACACACATTAGGCTTTATAAAGAAATTATCTTCAGATATTAAAATACGTTGTGAAGACAGACTTCCTACTTAGGCACGAACGTTCCTCACTCTAAATAGATGCAGTTATCCCAACTGTTATATGGCCTACTGTGTCCTTACAACTATGGAAACATCATATCAAAAAGGAAATGAAAGCAAAATTTTGCAATATATGGCAATAACTGCAGCACAAATGACGGCAACAGTATACCTTCCTGCTATGTGTTAACATCAGCTCTGCTGGCAAAGTGACAGCAAGTGTAGAGAGATAAGAGGAAAGCAAAGCAGAGCAAAAGAGATCATCTTTTAAAAATGGAAGTAGCAGCCTCCACTTCTTCGGGTGTGACAAGAGATGACATTAGCTTCCTCTCTGGTTTGAATGTGAAGGCAAATATTTTAATACAGTAAATCAAGTACAAGAGCATGTGAGATGCTGAGAACTTCACAACTCTCCAAAGTACCTTGTAGTGAGTCTGGCTGCAAAAGATCAAAATGTTTTGGGTATGGGGAGAGTAAATGATTTTGCAAGTACCTGTTTACTGTATGTTCCACGCCTACCATACAGCATCCTATGCCTTCCACTTGTCATTAAGTCATTCAGCAAAACCATATTGGTTTCCTAACTGCACGACAATGTTTGATCTCTGGACAGAGATGAAAATCCTTTTTATAGTTCTTTGAGATTTATGGGGAAATACATTCATGAGGATGTCTTGAGACTGTCTGAACAAATATATCATTAGTAATCATTTAAGGCATTATGATATCTGCATTGTTCATCAGGAATTCAGGAAACTTAACTGCAGGAAAAGCACAAAGACTGCCACAGCTCCATTTCAGTGTCTTCTTAGAAAATACAGATTACCTTTGGAAAGCATAAGGTAAAGATGTAAATTCATATGTGTAAACAAATATCCTACATCCCTTCTTGCACTTTTTCTGATTATTCAATAAATAGGACCTACATTTAACTAAGTAATTGGATCATTGGCACCAAAACCAATTAAAAACTCTCTAATATTTTCAGTCAAAACTAATGATGGAATTCCAGAGCCCTGTGTATCATTCTGTCTTCTGTGTGCCTTGGGATTTGAAAATCCAGCTGTAAACTGACAAAACACTTGATAAATGATGCAATAGGAAGTGGTCTCATTAATTTCATTAGTCTTTCTTATCTTCACTGGATCTGTCATTCATCTCTCCACACATCACCTACCAAGCAAATATACTGAATTTGCACTAGTGTATATGATATATGGAACAAGGCAAAAAGCAATTGAGGTTGTTGTGTTTATTTACGTGATATAATCAGTAACTGATAGATCCTTTTCTGAAAGGTGCTTTATATAGACTAATAACAGTAGAAGAGTCTCCCTACTTCTCAATAACAGAGAATAAGGAAGTTTTCCTTAAGATTCGTGAAGTGCTCACATTACCTTACTACAGGGACATCCTTTACTGTATCATGAAGTCACTGTGAGCTTGTGACCAGTCCCTGCAAGGGATTCCAGTATATAGATGGGAAACTGAGATGCTGGCATATCTACAGTAGGGAATAGAGGACAGTGCAGATATTCCTGGGCTAATTACATCCATGAGATTCAGTGCAACACCTGGAAGAGAAACTATTCAGGAACACTGTAATGGGATAGCTGTTGTCATGGTGCATTATCTGATCCAATAAACCTGCCTCCCAGAAAGAGCTAACTGATTTGGGCACAAGGACATTCTGGGAGTCCACAGATTCTGGCAGAAAGCTTCACTGCAACATATAGATGTATTTACAAGGGAGAAACCAGTGACCAAGAAGGATGGTCTGTGACAGCAGAAGAGGTAAGCTCTGTCCCCCTCAAAGAGTCTGGATACTGCCCCAATGGTTGAACAAGGAGTGTGACAGAACTCAGTTTGTTGTGGGAACAGGGCAGTTATGAAGTCAGCCAAGGGCAGAATCTCTGCAGTCATTGTGTCCTGCCTTGCCTTTGAACTGGGACAGCTGGTTTCACATTTTCTGTATGGAAATCCTGTGAAAAGGAGACCATTGCCTTATGTTTAGGCTGCCACCTGCCCTGTCTTTGGACATCAGTTACCCATGGGAATCAGCTTGCTTTACTTTCTTCCTCCTCTGCTCCTCTTCCTCAAACTCAATAACAAATAAGTTAATTGTTTTACTTGCTTAATTTTTTTCTCAGATGTGAAATCTATGCCTTATATCACTTTTATAAAATGCAGCAAGTACTATGAGCCTGGAAACAAGAGGCTGAACTCTTAGTTCACATGCTGAAATGTCTACCTAGCTCCAGACAGTTAAAAGTATAGTATTGACTTCTAGCTAATGACTAGATGTACCCTACAAGTTGTGATCTGTCTATGCTGGAGGCAGTAAGAAACTCCCCAGTCTAAGGTAGATTTTCAGTCAAGTTTTATTTCTGTTAAAGAAAAGCCATCCTTTGAGCTGCAGAAGGATATTGATTACGTTACATTTTAAAGAAATGTGATATACTGTTCTTACTTTCTGGGGGTCCCTAGCCAGCTCCATGGGTTACTGTAAAGGGAATTGCTGAGAAATTCTCATCTTAAAAAGCCTACAAATTATATTTTCAGAAGATATACCAACAGACCTATAGCCAGTGATTATTTTTTTTCATTCCTATGTAGGCAAGGAACATGATGGAATGTAAATGAGAATTAAGCCCCTAGCCACTTTCATATAGGCTCCAGTATGCCCTATGTGTATGTGCCTACATTATTCTCAGAGTTACTCCTTTTCTTACATACAGGTCATCTGCTTCATTGTCAGCACATAGATAACCCCATTCTGTTCCAGAACATCCCCGGAGATGCTTTAACATCAGTGGAGGTCTCCCATGTTGAGACAGGAACTCTGTTTGCTAAAGACCCGTAAGTACAAGGAGATTTGGAAGAACTTAGCAATCTAGAGGGATCAGAATATTCATTCCAAACAACTATGGAAGAGCTTGAGGAAAATCAGAACGATATTCAACTTACTTTACAGGAAATCCAGAATAATGATAACAAGAAGCAGCAGCATGAAAAGGTGGTAAGTGGAAAATACAATTCTTCCAGATGTAAAATGACAATGCATTATGGAAGATATAGATCAGCCAGGAAATGGAGTGTGCAAAGGAAAGTGAGGATCATGAGATATTTGAGTTACTTCTCAGAGGTAAATAACCTCAGTGGTTCCCATATTCATGGATTAACATCAAATTCACAACATGTGAAATTCTTCCATGTGGTCAAAAGAGCCATAGTGTTTGGTTTAGATCAACCAGGCTGTAATTAAATAGTTTTAAAAATTTCTTTACATCTTCAAATCAGAAAATTTTTATATGGTGGATATTTCCTATTTTTTAAGATAACATTCAATGGAAAATTTCTTTTCCAACTCTAGGAACAAACTTTTTAAAGGGAAATAATGGATGTTGGAGAACTAGTGACTCGTTATACAAATGTGTGAATAATCACTTGAACAAATATTCAGGTTGACTTAGATGAACATGTTCTATTTTCATCTATCAGCTTTAATACGAATTTATCCTCCCTTTTTCCAATTTATATCAGGGAGCCATCAGAGACATGGCAACATCATCTTTCATCTCAGACAGTAAAGCAGGGAGCATGGATGCAAAGTGTTGTATGGCACATTTGGACATGAAGGAAGGAACCAGCGCTTTGCAGGGTGAAGTACCCACCAGTGGAGAGGATCTGGAACAGTTCTGTGGCAAGCAGGTCACAGCAGCTGATATTGAACTTGAGAGGGTGAGGTGGGATTTTGTGCTGGGTAAACTGAAATATGAACATGAGGACAATGAAAAGCAAAGGCTTCATGAAGACAGAATGGAGCAGATTTATCAACAGGCAGTAAAAAGATCAGTAAGTGGGGAAAGGAAAAAGGGTTGAACACAACAGAGACTGCAACATTCACATCCTATGTTAAGCAATTTGTAAGGTTTTATTCTTTTGCATGTTGAATAGTACTATGACTTCTTTTAGACTCAACTAGTCTAGGTGATCTTTACAGCCTGTACACATACTTAAGGAGAATGGAGTTGTTCTGCTCCCTAGAATATGAACTATGGTGACATTCATTGCTATAAAATATATTAAAGAACAGTTAACTCACTCATTAAGTGTATGATGTAAGGATCCAAGAACTATTTTTTCCTTATTTTTCCCCCTGAACATCAGAGGAACTGCTCTGAACACCACTCTGATCAGTTTCCTGCTTCTACAGTGGGATCAATTTCCTGGGTTAGTTAGATGACTCAAATAATAAATGCATGGATAAATGAGTGGATGAAAGAATCTACCAAAGTAATGCAAATTTTCTAGACTATTAGTCAGATTTTGCAAGCCTGTTTTTTACAGACGTAGATGAAGTTATCATATGTTCAGGATATGAGTCTGTTGTTACCAGTAGTCCAGCCCAGAAGAGACCATTCTATTTTGCAGAGTTTAGCAAATGGGACAGCTGCAAGTCTTGGTTGTCTGGGCTTTTCCTGATCACATTGGGGTCTGTGGGCCTGATTCTCCTCCAATTTAATGCAATTTGACATTGGACTGACTTAGAGAGTAAGCAGAGTATCTGAATCTAAATCAACAATGTTTTAGAAGTACTTGCATGTTTGTCTTCTCTTGCATGTTCTGTGCTCTGAATCAGGACAGGATAGAAGGGCGTGTTTTACACAGTATTTGTAGCATTTGTGTTGTGGTTATACATAGGAGCTCAGATCGTGCACAAGAATGGCAGTTGGCTAAGCACCATAGAAGATCTGAAGTTTTCCATATGCTTTTTTTTTCCCCATATAGCTAAACCATAGGCCTGGATAGGATCACCGTTATGTAAATGCAGTTCCAATGAAATCAATGAAGTTATACCAGAGCAAAACAGATGAGGATCAGGTCCAATATATATTTGGCTAAATAAGTGACATGCATCTGGACTAAGAAAATTAACTACTGAATTATTTTATTAAATTGAGTCCTGGAAGTTTGCCCATGAGCATGTGTAAATGTATGAAAATGACCATGCAGTGAAAAAATGCAGGCAACAGTTTGTGCCACACAGCTGTAGAGATGGATACACAAAAGCCTCACCATGGGTGTGCACTTACTTCACACGAACTGCTTTGTGTACCTGCACGCTCATTCTTGCAGTAAATATTCAGAGGTCACTTACCTTCATTTCAGAGAGAGAAAACCTAGCTCGTGTTACGGATATGGGTGGGAATCACCTATGACTAACACAGTGTAGGTGATTTGCTGTCAGTTCACATGCCAGCTTATCTCACAGCAACTTTTTAAGAACTAAGTGTGCCAGAGGGCCACGTGTGCTCAGAGAAGCACGTGGACTGAGTGCAAATGGGACAGAGTCGTGTGACATAATGTGCATCTTTTCCTTTTTCTACAGTTTACCCAAGGACTCCAAGACCTACTCCAGCCCCCAAACCAGTATGCCTTGTTCCTATACTGCTTCATCATTATTCATGCTATTTATACAGTAAAGGAGCTGGCCTTCTACTTTTTCCAAAACCATTACCTGTTCTGTTTTGCTATTGTGCTCTTTTTCATTCTCAAAAAGATTTTCCAGGATTATCAAAATAAGGAAAAAAGTTCTTAAAAAAGGCACCATATTGTACACTTTTTGCCTCTGTTTTCACTGCCTTTTTTTAATCTTTTCCTCACTACACCAATCATATATGAAGCATTTCAGCTATTGTTCAGCACAGTAGCCTAATTATGGAAAACTGATTTCCTCAAGAAAATTGTGACTGAATGACATCATTTGACTTCATGCTGTCTCACCCACATGTTTGGCATCATTCAGGGGCATTCATCTCTAGAAATAAAGTTATATGCAATAAGAAATAATTCTGGAACATGTTCTTTCTATTTTATCTCACCTCCTTGGATTATCACAATGACTTGGGCTTATTTATAATAAATTATCACAGAGAGGTTTCAGGGGTGGATTCATTAGCATGGAGGAAGGTGCTCAGGAGAATTTAATATTCTCTTACGTGTTCACTACCATGTGCTTGGCAGACACCTCATTTTGGACTAGGGCTGTCTCTACCTCTGGGATGGAAGCATTCCCCTCTGTGCCGTGCCATCCTCCATAGTTACACACAGTTTCTATCAGCAACAGATCAGCAAGCACTGGTGAGCACATATATTCTTTATAATTAAGGTATCATGATTTCTGAAGTATCGACACTGATAAGGAAAGATATCAAATATAGTCCAAGTAAAAAGGCATTTTGTCTACTGAGAATGTGACTAGACCCTTTTAATACTATTTCAGCCATGCAATAGAGGATATTTCCAGCAGAGAAAAGGTGAAGAGTCATCTACCATATGGTATGTCAGGTTAGAGTAAGTACAATCTTATCAACCTTCTAGTGTTGTTAGAATCAGAGCATAATTCACCTATATATCCCCATGCACATGCCTTACTCTGTTTTGTTTTTTTTTTTTTTTAAATAAGTCTTGTCTCAGTCTGCATTCTCTTTGCATTGTGTTCTTAACAAGAAAACAACCTAAATAGTATTTGGTAATCAGGCTGGATATGCAAAAATCCATTCACGTCAAGGTGAAATGGGTGTTACCTAACCCTACTCGGGTTATCATGTATCCATGAGAAGTTTGACCTCAGTCAAGATGGTATTCTTTGGGCATGCCAGCGGCAATGTGTTTACAAAAGCAATGCTATGTACAAGGCTGGCTGAATGAAGGCAGTAGAGAGGCCTATCCTTTGTTTTCTGCTGAATCTGACAACACTTCCTGTAGATAACCTGTATATAAGTATGGTTTGCAATAGCACAAGTGACTTTGAATACTTCTCTTCATTGTTGCTAACTCTTGGGTTTTAGTCAACAGGAGAGATGATATCAATCTGCATTTTTTGTTGTTAATTCAAATGACAGCTAGAATAAGTCACAGATGTGAGACCACTGGAAGTTCCAGAACACCGAGTCTGCACAGAAGCACTATTTTTGATACTGGTTGGACGCTAACTTTTAGGAGGGGCAAAAGGAGTTGGTAGTCTTTTGCATTTTATTTACTGCACACAAGAGGTAATACTAAATAGTCTTAAGACAGCTGCCTCACCATACACACATATTCCAAACACACACATATCCTCAAATCATAAAATCAAGGAGACAAATAAGTTAGCCTTTCCCTGATAGGTGCTCTCTGAGCCATTCTGGGTAACCATGCTATACTTTTAAACTTATTCCCACATTGATGAGAGCTAGACTTTTTTTTTTTAATGGCAATTTCTGTGTATCTGCCTAGTCTCTGGGAGCCGCAGCTAAAAAAATTGTTGAAATACCATTAATCCATTGATAAAGTCATGAGAAGTAGCAATACAGCAAAGAACAGAAAAAGCTCCTCCCTAACTGCTTCAGGTCCTTCTGAGCTTTGATCAGCTCTTGCCCTTCCCTGGGGTGACAAATACACCCTTCGAGTTGCCTGGCTCTGCCTTACACCCTCATTTTTTGACAGTGGGCACACTCATCACAAAGTGTATGGTTTCATGTGAAACCACAGGAAACATGGTGGTTTCAGCTATTTTAAGCTAAAATTAGGCAGTATTTTACAGCTGGTTTGATTTCAAGAGAACCACCACAAGTGAAAAGATGTTTTTAACCCTCAGGGTGGTAGCATAAAACTATTCTAAAGTATCAGAAGCCACTACAAAGAGCCCCAAATTAACAATTAAAAATAGTAATGTCATAATTCCCATGGTTCTTGGCAGCTAAATTGTGATTTATCAGTACCTGAGTTGGGAATTACTGGTCCTAGCAAAACAAAAGATTTGCTAATTGACCTACAAGTCAAGGCTACATTTCCCAGCATTTATTTATCATTCTCCCACTGAGAGGCTGGCTGCACCAAATCAAAGGGCAAACTTGGAAGCAGGCACCAACCCACTAGATAACCAAAGCTTGTTTCATGTTTAGCAACTTCATTCCGGGGCCCTCTAGCCAGACGTTTTTTAAAACTCAAAGCTGGGTTTTTTTAGAAGGCTGCAAGGTCAGGTTTGGTTTTGTTTTGTTGGGGTTTTTTCCCCAAAAAGTTTGTACAGGCTCTTTTCATTTAATTGGTGACTCCAGACCTCAGATTTGTACTTTGAGCCCAGGATGAGGTCCTGTCTATAAACAGTCTTGATGAACCTGATCAAAACCTTCTTTTTTTTTTTTTTTTTCCCCTGCAGTGGAAGGCTAAGAAGAAGGGATGAGGAGAAAGGCAGTGCAGCAGAAAGGAAGATCTTGCTAGAAGATGGTCCAATATTTCAATCCCAACGCAGCAAAGCTCAGCAGGTCAAACGAGCCTCAGCTGAAAGCTGTAAGTTC